ACAGGAGGGGGCCCACAGGCCTCTGGCGTCTGATGGGAATTAATTCTTCTCCTCTTCTATGCACACACACAGGAGCACTGTCACTAACATATAAGCACACATACACATGGCCTTAAAGTGACCAGGACAGCGTGTCCCTTGTTTGGCCTCTGGGTCACCAACGGGCCAGTAAATTGTTGGTTTAAAGAAGGCAAATGACAGCGTGTAAATCCCCAAGGAGTCGGAAGTGCCGGGCAGCAGAGAAGATGATGTTTCTCTCAGCCTAAGGAAGACACACGTGAAGCTCTCAGGCTAAGCATAGGACTGGATGGTGCAGCATAGCACTTAATGATGGAGTGAGGGAATATTAATGGGGTATTTAAGGCTCCCCACCCCCACCTAGAGCCTGGGACCCTGCAGGTCTCTGATGAAGGTCACCACCTCCACTCCTCATGTCCAAAACTGATGCTCATATTGGGTTAATGATGGCGATAACCTCCACTGTAAACCTGTCAGTGGCTCATGTATCTATGTTGCATTTTGTCCTATAAACCCCACTGCTTTCTCAGGTCCTTCCTCAGAAATCCAACACATATTGTAGGCCACAGAGTGCTACCCACCCCCCCCCCCAGCCTTAGAGTCAAGAGAAGCGGACCACAATCGATATGAGATTGATGCTACGCCGGTGTTTATTCACCTCACGTACCCACGCCTCTCCCGATCGAGCCTTTAGCTCAGAAATTCTGGACCTGTCCTCACCAAGCACTTTTCGTTCAGGTTTCTCCCTGTTATCTCATCTGTCATTTCCAATTCTGTCCACGGTCGACAGTCGGCCACACGAGCCATCCGCCGCAAGCGACAGACCGAGCGAAAGAGCTGTACGGCGTCTTAAACCTCTTAAACTTACTTACCGTATCCTTCCCAGATTATTCTGTTTGCTTGTTGTGTTTCTCACCCTTTATGCATCAGAAGGAGCTTTCAGACTTCCATCGCCACCTCTCTGACTTTCTCCCCGTGCCTGTAAGCTATTATTATCAGGTTACACAATAACATGTGCTGTAGGTCAAGGTAGACCTAGATTGGTGAGACATAAGGAACAAGGGAGACCTTAACTTTTCCCTTAGTTGACACCAGAAATAGGCAGTGGATGTTCAATAGACAGCTCAGATGGTGCTGGAATAGGGCTCCCCTGGTGCGAGTGGAGAAACCCCATACTGGTCAACCATAAACACCAGCAGCTTCACTGCGGAAGCACATCTTCACTGTGGTCACAGAACCGACACCCTCTATACTTCACCACTACTGATGAAGACTGACCAGTAGCTTAACATCTACCAGGAAGGAGCAAACCAAGTATTGGATAAAATAACCTGCCTGGGCAAGTTGTTTTTTTGCTTGAGAAGTACTATGTGAAGCAGAATGTGTACGTCTTGCATAGCCCTCACACTGCTGGTAGAGTGTTGGTGGTTTGTGGAAAGAGTAGGAGGACAAAACGGGACTTGCGGCTCAAAGAAGCGTGAACTGCGTGCTTGTGGCAGCAGCTGATTCTGTCCCCAAAGCAGGAAGCACGGCTTCTCTGTAACCTGTGAAAAGGCGTCTTGCACATCTATTTATGAATCTATTTCAGCACTTTAAAGCTCATTACCTATTGATGACTTTGTGACAGCTGTGCTCACTGTTCCAGGTTCATCGGTGGTTCAGGGCTCTGTTTGCCCTCATCCGTCCTTCAGAGCTGCTCTCCGGAGACCGTTTTTGCACATTTCTCCTGGTGTGTGTCAAACGTACGATAAAACGGGAGGGAGGGAAATACCATGAGCGTCATGCCCCATTATCGTATGCATTCACATGTTTGTGATCAACATAATATTTCAGGTTTACATTAACTTCAAAACATGGCCATACAGACTGAAATGGAGAATATCATGTCCAGCCAGTCCAGATGTTGCTGCGCTTTCTGTTCTTTGGTGAGATCCTTCTGTCGCTGCTGTTTTATTTGGGATGCTTACCCGTCCGATTTTAAAAGAGTCAGTGGAGGCTGTGCTGGGTTTAGAGCAACAGAAAATATGGCTTCCAATAAGCTGTTTTTTTTTCTTTCTTTAATGTGTGTTGCCGTAACGCTTAAAGTTATCCTTGTCCGTCGTCAACATCCTGCCATCTTAAATTATTCGCTTCCCGAGCCCAAAAGCATTCTGCAACACGCACTTGCCCACAGTACCTTGAGCGCTATCCTCTGAAATCATGCCATCTATTATTTATCTGGGTTTCTGAGTGGGGGAGACATTCTGATCTGGGTCCACTGTGGCCCTCTGAATAAGGATGAGATGATTCCCTCAGACACGGTGACTGCCTCCCGGTGATCAGTTAGCACGTTTTGTTTTTGAGGCCCTGTAGCTGAGCCGCTGTTTGTGCTGGTTACAGAACAGAGGTGGGGGTGTGAGGTGAGTCGCATATTTGTGAATGACACGGTTAATTGGTGTGGCCTCGGTGCTCCGATAGACCTAGGGCGTCTATAAAGTGTCACACAGGTTCACTACCTTAGGCCGACACATGGCACTGCCCCGTCTAAGCCCTCACTGACCTTACTTACTAGATCATTCTCTTCCTCCTCTGCAGCGTCAAAGCAAGGGCATTTTTCTTGAGTGAGGGTCGAGTTCTACAGCCCAGATTTCATCCGGAGCATAAAATATCACGTTCTAGTTCTGAACCTCACGAATGTCACACTTTTGGAGCAGATGTGACATATTTTTGTTTGTGATTTTGTGCCATTACTTACAGTTCAGTTTGATTCCCTTGAATCCCGGTTTTGGATCCCTTGGGCCGCTTGCACGGCCTTTGTGGACACAGGGCACATATAAGGTAGACGCTGTTCCCTAGTGCTGAGCGCAGACTTCAGCTCCCGCTGCCTGCCATTGCTAACAGGGCCTTGGGGAGCTGCTGAAATCAGCTGTAGCTGAAGGAAGGAGCCAAAACGGCAAAAGAACAGGGCAGGGGGGTCAGAGGACCCCAGCAGAGAATTAGCCAGAGGCAGTTTGCATTATCCTGCATGAGCAGCTACATGTTATAAATGTCAAGGCTTAACGACGAAGCCCAACCAAAGGCCTTCGGTTTTTCCGTTTCATTCTGAATCATGAAACGAATGTGGGACGTTTCATCCGATTACGTAAAGATCCCCGCAGCTCTCTGTATGCCTGTTTGTTTGCGGCTGATCTGAAGAGTTCATCAGTCTCATCAGATGTTTCTCAGCTGCCGGGTCCCCGAGGTTTGTTACGATAGCTATAAACGTGGAATCAAGTTAAACACGAGCCGCTGTTTTGTATTTCCCGTCTTCCTCGACGCTGGGAGGATGAAACGCCTCCCGATTTTCGCGGCTCCTCGCTATGGAAAACATACCACTATTTGCATATCATCAGCAGATCATAGCGCCACTCCTGTGCGGCAGAGTGACTCTAATTTCGCTAAGTACCCGGCAGTGATTAGCACCCAGACTGAGACCATTTGTGAAAGTTTGTTTTGACTAATATCTGTTGTTGTTTTTTTGCCCTGTATCTTCCATTATTCCACAAGAGGCTGGGGTAATATTTCAGTAAATACCAGATGGTGCAGAAGCCGCCTCTGCAAATTCATTCTGCGGACGTTAACGGGCAAATTTTTCAGCCCTTCATTGTGGTAGATTTAGTTAATCAGGATAGGAGAAGGCAGGCTGCTAGTTAAGAAGGTGTGTGGCCCCATGTCAGTAGGGTGTGGCACCCCCCCGCCCCCCCCCCCGGCCCTGGATACATGCGGCCTTACGGTGCGGAAGGGAGTCGTACAGCCGTTGTATCCTCTCCTGCGGCAAGTCGGCCCACAGCTGTTGTAACTGGCCCTTGAGATCCTGCAGATTGGCATTGGGTCTGAGGTGACGTCCGAACTGATCTCACACATGTTCGACTGGGGAAAGATCGTGGGACCTGGCTGGTCACGGGAGGACCTCAACATGACGCAGGTAGACGGGCGTTGTCTTGGTCAAATACTGTCTCAGGAGGGGTAAGACATTTGGACACAAGATGTCACTCACACAGCGCTGTGCCATCCGGGTCCCCCGAATCACTACCAGAGTTGACCTGAAGTCATACCCTATGGCTCCCCACACCATGATGCCAGGAGTAACGCCAGTGTGTCTCTCCACAACATCGGCAGGATTGGTCCTCTCCCCTCGGCGCCGCCATACGGCACATGACGGACATGCAGAACCTATATTCGTCGTGAACATGGCCACTCGTCATCAGTCCATGCCTCTTGGTTACGGCACCACTCCAAACGCAGCTGTCTCTGCGTTGGTGTTAACGGCAGCCTACGCAGGGGATGGTGACCCTGTAGTCTGGCTGATGCCAGTCGTTGAGACACAGTGCAGGATGACATGGGGTGTTGTAGAGTCCAGGACCTGTGTCCGGATAGCAGGCGCAGATGTCATGGGGTTCTGAAATGCTCGCCGCACAATCTGACGATTCTCCCTTGGTGCGGTCTGTCTTGGGCAACCAGAAGCTTCATGACGTGTGTGTGTGTGCCCTCACGTGCCCATTGGTTCCAACATCGGGCGACCGTGACACCTGCATGCCCCACGTGCAATTGCACGATCTAACCACCTGGCCTCATGCAAACTCACAACGTGACCCCTATCAAACTCCATCAAGTGCTGGTAATGCTGTCTAATGTGTCTACGAGGCATCCTCTGTATCTGGTGACTAGACGTGCCAGCTCCTTGCAAATCTAGTCATTTATATACCCACCGCTGGTCTGCATGTGTACCAAATTACATCCAAATCGTACCATTGCTTCTGCGTGCTTCACTTTTTTGTAACTGAGTGTACATATCTATATATTTTTTTATATTCATGTGAAATTTCTTTATTTGGTCATCAGTCATTTTGACATTATATATTGTAAATTACTGGAAGTGTGTGATGTCAGAGAAGGTCCACTGTTGTAGGAATGATGGAAGCAGTCCTGTAATCTGATCTCCTGCCTCCGCCTCCTGTCTGCAGACGTTCAGCATATAAAGCGCAGAGACATCGTCCTGAAGAGGGAACTCGGGGAAGGAGCCTTTGGGAAGGTCTTCCTGGCTGAGTGTTACAACCTGAGCCCCACCAAGGAGAAGATGCTGGTAGCTGTCAAGGTCAGGCTGTCGTTTCTGACGGGTCTCTGGACTGCATGAAGCTGATCTTCAGGCACACTCTGAAAGCCACCAAACTGGCCATATTCTTTGCAGATCATCAAGATTGCCTTTGTCTTTATGGATATTTCTGTTGATTTACGCCCCTCCTACATGTGTTACACATGTATGTGTTGCAGTGCTTGTGAGAGTTTTACTTACACAAAAATGTTCTGATTGGTTCAGAGAGTGGGACCATGACATCTGATTGGTTGGTCCCACCACCTCCTTTTTCTTGGACCCACCTCCTCTACAATTTGACTGATTATCTCTCTGAACCAATCATTTTTCCTTCTGCCCTCAGAACATTGTTGTGTAAGTAAAACTCCCATGAGGTGTTGCAGTGTGGCATCTCCTCCAATGTGGTAGTTTTGGATACCACACCTCCATAAATGCACTTTACATGCTGTGATAGGTTTATTACTGTAGGTAAGAAGGAAAGGTAGCTGATGTAACTTTCAACATTTCCTGTGTTGATTTGCATCACGTGTATTTTCTTGTTATTGTGATATTTCAATCTGCTGATGTTTCACTTTAAACAAAAAACCCTTATTTCCTTATTCTTGTTCTTTGGGGGGAGGTTCTGCTCGGGGCCACACAGGTGGGCCCACAAACGTGGCATTTAGCAGCACAGGAGTGATTACGTGCTGCAGATAGGGATTGATGCGTCGCCACCTGTGCATTTGAGCCAGCATCCATCTTTATACTTCTGCACCCAGGGAAATATAATCAAAATTAATTAGTGCCATGTGTCGCTGAAACTCCCGATTAGAGAGGGATCAGCGAAAGTGTATCTCAGAAAGAGATGCAGACTGGACCCTGTAGGATAGAGACAGAAATGTCATCGCTAATGCTTTTGGGAGCAGGACATTTTCAGGATGGTGTGGCGTCCACACATACTGTTAGGAGGGGGTCAGGGGTACCTGTGACCCGGAAGTGAAAGGGCCGGGCAGCCTTCTACACATCCTGCTAGTAAGAGTCAGGGGTACCTGTGACCCGGAAGTGAAAGAGCCAGGCAGCCTTCTACACTTCCTGCTAGTAGGAGTCAGGGGTACCTGTGACCCGGAAGTGAAAGGGCCGGGCAGCCTTCTACACTTCCTGCTAGTAGGAGTCAGGGGTACCTGTGACCCGGAAGTGAAAGAGCCAGGCAGCCTTCTACACATCCTGCTAGTAGGAGTCAGGGGTACCTGTGACCCGGAAGTGAAAGAGCCAGGCAGCCTTCTACACATCCTGCTAGTAGGAGTCAGGGGTACCTGTGACCCGGAAGTGAAAGAGCCAGGCAGCCTTCTACACTTCCTGCTAGTAGGAGTCAGGGGTACCTGTGACCCGGAAGTGAAAGGACCGTGACAAGCAGCCCTCCACACTTCCTCTAAGAAGGGAGTTAGGGGTACCTGTGACCTGGAAGTGAAAGGGCCAGGAGGCCCTCTACAGGTCCTGTTAGGGGAACTGACTTTTTCACAATAGCATTACCTTTGCCATTTGTTTAGATTTTATTGACTCAAATGGGGAAACCCCCCCCCCCCCCAACCCAAACACGAGTGAATGCTTCATGAAGTTAATGTATTGAAATGAGGGTCGCTGCAGTGCAGTTGCACAGCAAATCCCCAGTTGGCATCCTCAACGTAACACTAGTTTGGGTTTCACGTCATATATATTCAGGACAGATACTGATGCAACCTGAAAGTCAGAATAACTGAAATTGAGTAGAGAGAAAAGCTAATGAGATTTCAGGTAATCTGCACGCGCCATCACAGCGTTTCGGCAGATTGTGAAATGCTCATTTCATGTTCATCTCTGCTTCCAAATCCTTTACTAACAAGGTTACATATTTGCCTACATGCACATATGATAAAATATTTGCCTTTTAATTTAAAGCAAGCATGTTATTTTGTGCAGTAAATGATCACTAAACAGAGAACAGCCCTTAAAATTATAAAACAGACAAATAATTCAAGGCTTTATGCTTTGTTCTATCGTTGATCATTATCATTCACATTTTGCAGTTACTCTGATATTTACTACCGTGTATAAATATGTAAATTTAAACGCCCATTTAGAGTATTCTTTCTTATTTTACTTTATTTCATGTTATCAGTTTTTTCATTTCTTTAAATTACTTTATTAAATGAGTTCCTATTGCATCTAATGAAAAAAGAGTCATCAGAAACCTTTCATTTTCCTTGTGATTTTCTGTGTTTTCTGATTGTGCTGTCAGGCCACACTGTGTTCCCAGCAGCCAAAACCTGAAGCTGTCAGTTAGGTTTTTTGAGTAGATGAACCGACTCTTTACTCTACAGTAGGCAGACCAGTACACCAGTGAAATGTACAGCTGAATACTGGACTGGGCTACTCAGAAACCCATTACTGGAAATGTCAGAATTTTTCTGGAACATTCTGTTGGCAGTACAGGCCGCAGCAGTAGATAAGTAACTGGCAAAGGAACAAAGGCTCCCTTGGCTTTCAGACCCTGAAGGAGCCGACCCTGGGGGCCAGGAAGGATTTCCAGAGGGAGGCGGAGCTGCTGACCAATCTGCAGCACGACCACATCGTCCGCTTCTATGGCGTTTGCGTGGATGGCGACCCTCTCATCATGGTCTTCGAGTACATGAGGCATGGAGATCTCAACAAGTTCCTCAGGTAGGGTGGGGTTACAGCCACCATCAGTAAGGGATGAGAGCTCTCACCCGGGGGGGCACACATTAAAAGCCAGCATGCCTTTGAGCCATTTCATATGGCACCATTAGAAAATCTTCCACAGGGAGGTCCTGATCTTCCCTCTGAAATGAAATGACCATACACATCCTAAAGCTGAACTAATCAATACACATCCTAACACATACTAAAGCTGAACTAATCAATACACATCCTAACACATCTTAAAGGTAAACTAATCAATACACATCCTAACACATCCTAAAGCTAAATTAATCGATACACATCCTAAAACATGCTAAAGCTAAACTAATCCATACACATCCTAACACATCCTAAAACTTAACTAATCCATACATATCCTAAAGCTAAACTAAAGGCTACACATCATAACACATCCTAAAGCTAAACTTATCAATACACATCCTAAAGCTAAACTAATCCATACACATCCTAACATATCCTAAAACTTAACTAATCCATACACACCCTAAAGCTAAACTAAAGGATACACATCCTAACACACCCTATAGCTAAACTTATCAATACACATCCTAACACATCCTAAAGCTAAACTAATCCATACACATCCTAACACATCCTAAAACTTAACTAATCCATACACATCCTAAAGCTAAACTAAAGGATACACATTATAATCCATCCTAAAGCTAAACTAAATGATACACATCCTAACACATTCATAAGATACACTGATAAAGCTGAACTGATAAACTAATCAGTCTTTACTTGATATTATCACCTGATCAGAATCACATTCAGCATTTGTGCTAAAAATATTTGGCATATTTTTTTGTGTACATATTTAAGATGCAGTATTAGCCAGCTATTTTCTACACTGCTTATCCTGGGCAAGGTGACAGTGTGCCTCTCCCTGGAAACAGATGTCAGTCCATCTTGGGGCTGACAGTGACACACTAAGGGTGACTCAGAGACAGCAGTTCTTAGGGGCGACAGTCAAACCCGCGGCCCTGCCGGCTGTGGTGTCAGCTCACTGTGACCCACCTTGGCACCAGAGCTAACAGCTAACAGTCAGCCTGAAGTGCGGGGAGTCAGAGAAAACACCGGCTTGCTGTGAAGGAGGAGAGCATCTGCGTCTTCTTCTGGAGTTCAATTTGTCCTTGAGGTAACAAGGGAGTGGCTTGTGTTTCCCTTCCTTAACCAATCACAGTCTTCATCGTATGACATCACTGCATTGGTCTGTTTTTTTTTCCTCATTTTCAAACTCAAGGCTTCCAGCCATCCAGTCACCTGGCCTGGGGTGGCGTGGGGTTCAGCTGGCTAAGCCTCTATGCTTCTGAAGGTTGCTGGATCAAACCTTATTATTATTATTATTATTATGAAATAAAGATGCACCCCTACATTGCTCTGTACAGCTTTTTTAAGTAAGCATGTTCCTATATTTTGTACCTACGACATGTCCCTTAAAAGGCAAACACTATAAAAGTTACTTTAGAAATCTGTGCACCTTATCGCTTAACAGAAAACAATGTGGTGATGTCAAACAATGAAGACTGTGATTGGTTAAAGAAGTGAAACGCAAACCTCTCCCTTGTTGACCCGGGGACACGTCAAACTCGGCAGAATCAGGATGCGCTCTTCATCTCACGGGTCCTGCTGGGGATACGTGACGCCGTGTGGCGGGCCCCTCTGGCCGTGCCATGTCCCCCACAGATCTCACGGCCCAGACGCCATGATCCTGCTGGACGGGCAGCCTCTGCAGACCAGCGGGGAGTTGAGTCTGTCGCAGATGCTGCACATCGCCACCCAAATCGCCGCCGGTATGGTCTATCTGGCCTCTCAGCACTTCGTGCACCGTGACCTGGCCACTCGCAATTGCCTGGTGGGCAACGGCCTGTTGGTGAAGATCGGCGACTTCGGCATGTCCAGGGACATCTACAGCACCGACTACTACCGGGTAAGAGCGCCTCCCACTGGTGGCTAGACAGACTGTGGCTGCTTCTGTCCATTTTTAATGTGCTTAATTGTCTTTGTGTTTACCTAAAACACAGTCAATTCTACAGCAGTATTTGTAGTCTTCAGAGTATTTAAAAAGTAAACAAAACCTTATTATGTTTGCATTAGCACATTAATTGGAAAACACCTAATTGCATCTTAATTTCCCCTCTGGGATAAATAGTCTGTCTGTCCATCTTTTTATTAATATTTTGATTTATTGCAGTGTATAAAGAAAACACAGGTACATAACTAGCTAGATTGCATGAAATTGAACAGGAATAGAGCTCTTCATTTTCTCTGAAATAAGGAATTCCCATATGCATGTAAAGGCGGAACGGCCATTTTTAGGAAGGCGGTTAGTTCATGAACGTGGTTATTGGTGAGCGGTCACTTGCATTGAAAGGATCCTCCCTGCTTCACTGAGCCAAGTACAGAAATACAAAATGATACAAAAATACAACCCCATGTTCCTGCTACCCTGCCAGTGATTTTCAGCCTGGCTTACTTAATATCTGAGTGATTAAAATGATCCTTCTTTAAAATGACACACAGCCTGTAAAAATACCAGCCAGGAAACGTGTTTAATCTGTGCTAAATGTGCTTCCTATTCTGCCAGATCTGGGTGGCTTGTCAAATGTGGCGTGTGTGTGTGGAGAGGGCTAGACTATGGAGGCAGCTTCGGCTTCGAGGCTGGGCCTGGATGGGATGCCAGTCCATGCTGGGCACACATGTGCACACTGCCTCTCTCACACGCATACAGACACACTATGGCAAAGAGAAAACTACAGCACTTCGCTCAGAAATGAAATAGCAGGCCCTGTCGAGGGCCTGAATTTATCTGTATAATTTTCACTTCAGTTTTGGCATCTGTGTGCCAACCCACTATTTGGGGAAGTAATGCAAAAATGTTTATAATTCCCAAAACACAAACGTGGAGATGGTTTTATGTATTCCGTTCGGCGCATTTCCCGAAAGTGGGACGGATGATGGATTGATAGATCCCTGCCTGAATCTGCGGCGGTTTGAAGCAGCGGCAGGAATTCGAGCTGCTCACTGGATGCCTTGAGCTACTAAGAAATCTGCTTCTGTGGCTTCAATGCTTCTGTCAGATCAGCACAGACCTTCAGGGGCTGACGTGAGCTTCGGGGGAGGCGCAGCTCAGCGTTCCCCTCTCGCTGCTTTGGGGGGGGGTTGCACCTCAGGACGCAGTGGTACCTCATTCTGCCTCATGGCCTCCCATGCCTCCATATCTGAGATGCGTGCTTTCAAGAATCCCGAGCAGATGAGGTTCTAGTGATCCAGGAGACCTCCATGATGTCCGTTTTCCTTTTGGGGCTGGGGGGCAGCGGGGCCAGAGCGGCTCAGACAGAGAGATGATGCTGGAGCATTTGCTGGCAGCTGGTGTCACACTAATAATGACAGCGCATCGACTCGCTGCCACTACGCTGCTCGTCACGCGCTGTGCATGTGGACTGAATGGTGCCTTCCAAGTCCTCGCTGACTTCCACTCCGTTCTGAAAAGTGCTGCTCGTGCTCTGAACCCCGGTGACCTATTTAAATCCCCCGCAGGTTCTTGCTGGCGTCCCGCTACTTCTGCGGCATCTCGGGGGCGGTCGGGTCCAGCCTCAGCAGTTTCGGTGTCATGCCGAGAGCGTTTCTTAAAGTCGGCACTTTTTCATAGTTCTCTGGCCTTTTTGTGGATTCTCGAGGGTAAGCGTCCACGCACTGTCCGTAACTGATTTTCCCGCCCGGGTCACTGTGAGGCCGAAGCCTGTCCTGTGAGCCCAAGCCGTGAGGCTCGGGACACCCAGGACGGGATGCCAGTCTGTCGCCAAGCCCAGAGACCAACTCACTATTGGCAATTTAAGGGCACCGATTCACCTAAACTGCACGTCTTTGGAGGGCTGAATCATCAGGACAATTTGCAGAATTTAGGGTAGGAAACTTCCAGCCCTGGAGGGGTGGGGCTACACCACTAACCCTTCCGTATATATCAAGTGTGATAAATCTTTTGTGGAAGACATAAGTATGAAATGTCCAATAATTCCTGCTGTAGAAAAGGCTCTTTGTACTTTTGATGTAAGCAGTCAGAGAGAGCAGCAATGCTTACTGTCAGTTCTCCATTGTGATCTCAAGGTTGAAACGTTGATTTGAGATTCTGTATGAACATATAGGATGTCAGGTACTTGCTAGATGAGTGCTGATTTTGTGTATTCTGATGCTGTTTGAGCAGGCAAAGCAAAAGGGAGCAAATACTTTCTATACAGCAGTAAAATATCCTAAGGCAATGTTAGGAAACAGACATTTTCACACATACATTCAATATGGCTGCCGGTCATAATGTCATAATGCTGACTGTTCATTTGCATATTTTCACACATTTATTTGAACTGCAAAACAATGTAATCTCATTTTCTGTAACTGATCTACCACAAACTTTGATCTTGGGAAGTTAAGGGGGAATCACTCCTGGAATTTAGCAAACATAGTAACACATCCATGCTGGATAATTCTTAGCTAAACATCATGAATATCATCTCAGATGTCCACCAATGTTGCTCTTGTTTTGTGTGTGGAAGACAGATATTGGAAGGATGATCTGAAGCCCAGAAGATTATCAAAAAAACATGAAGTCTGAAGTGTAGGAAGCAGCATGACGACTCAGAATCCGAGTGACGTCACGTTGAAGCCGAGAGCAGATACTCACTCGCTCACCGGGCTCGACCCATCTTTGTCACCACGGAGACGGTCTCGAGATAAGCAGTGGATTTGGCGCGCCGTACGTCACGCCTGTAATGGCACATTAATGCACTGGCTCCTGTTGGTTTATCTATACACACCGGTTACTGCAGGCTGTATTTCAGCATTATGGCAGCTCATAGAAAGTGTCTGTAAAACACACAGTTTGGAATGAAAGAGCGGGATGCTCAGCCCTGGCTTCCGTTGCGTTGTGTGACTACAGAGCTCATCGTCTCCTTCTGGGGTTCGTTCCTCAGAAACTCCCCTTAGCAGCTTACAGTACATGGTCGACACCATTCTGTTTCAGAGTTAGGAACTGTGGATCTGGGGCACCAGGGTTCCCAACTATCACGCATCTGGCGTGACACTCAAACCCTACAGACTTTTTACGAGGTAATAAAACTGTCACATACATGTAAATATGTGTGCAGACTTGTCTCGAATTGGAATTGATCTCACTCCAGCCAGCTGACCATGGTTTGCATCCCAGGGGGCTGCATCCCTGATATGTTTGTGTGTCTGTGTGTTGGGCCCTAAACAAGACAGCGAGGTTGGAGGCTGTTCCAAAAAACTGCAGGCAGCTTAGCTCCAGGTGAGGGGCAGCGATGTCCGGTCAGGCGATCGCTCCGTGTCACGGCGTTAATTGCTGCGTAAAGATGTGAAAATGGATGTGGGAAGTTCTTGTAGGAGGAGACTGAGAAACGAGAGCGAAAGGTGGAGGCAGGAAGGAGAGACAGTACTGTCCAGCCCCGGGGAGCCCCGTGCTGCTGACGAGAGTAATATATGCTGTGCAAAGACGGTGGGGCTCGGTGATGCCCCACATCCCTGCCGAGCCTGCGCCTTATTTCATGCCGTGATCCCCGGCGTGCCACAAGCCTCTTCCCGAGATGAGCGCTCCGAAGGCATACCTGCACTCCCACGGAAACAAATGGCCCATTAACCCCGAGAGTGCCACCGCGGTAGATCGCTGCCCAGTGGCGTCGTGACAAATGGGCCCTTTTTAAAGTGCGCTCTGCCAGGTGCGGCAATTAATAAAAACGCCGGCGCGCTCGCTTCATTTGTTTACGCTGAACGGTGTGCGGATGCCACGGCGTCTAATGCGTAATGAGGACCTTGATGAGGAATCGATTTTATGGATGTATTTTTGAAGTGCCTTTAATCATCTGAAATGCAGTTTTGCTACATGCTTGTACCTGTGCCCTCATTTTAAAGGCGGAAGCTTCGGCCAGTCTGACCCTTTTCGCTGAATCATGCTCTGAATGCGGCCTTTTGCAGTGTCTTATGTGCGTAATCCAGCCAGGCCTCCTCTATCCACCTGATTTCCTTAAAGGGCACATCTGAACACCTGTGTAATATCCTGCTGGAATGGAGCCCCCATTTACTTGATTAAAGGGACGTTTGATCCAGCATCTGTGACACACGTGTGGGCCCAGTGCATCCCCCCCCCCCCCCCCCCCCCGCTCCCATCAGTGAGCCGGAGAGCCAGGGACTCTCCTGCCTTCTCTTGATGAATGAGTCTCTGTTTTTTACAGGACCATTTGTCTCAAAGCACGTTTACAGCACGTCATCCGTCTCATGGGCACGGGGCCGGCGTATCTCACGGAATAATGGTGCAAAGGCTGCTAGTTTCACACTCCTTTCTGATTATTATGTTCCTCACGTTTACGGTGTTATTTTACAGAATTACACTCTGTTCCCCCGAGTTTCACGTTCATATTCCCCTCATACATGCAATTTTCATGCTAAAAAATACTGAAAAACACTCTTGTAAAAATTCTGTATGGAACGGGTAGAATGTGCAAGGAGTTCCGATGAAGTGAGTTATTTGTGATTTTACATGCACTGGATCTTCGTTAATCCACTCATTAATTACTGCATGCCCAAAGCAGCCAATGAGAAGACTGTTCATGTTTGCTATGGTCTCACAAACAGTGCTATTCATGTGAGAGAGAAACAGATAGTGTCTGCTGGCAGACGAGTGGCCACTTTATCTCTTACTCAATATCTAACTGCGGGTGGCTATTAGAAAGGCCCCATTTAAGTTGCTGCGCAGTTTGAAGATTGTCGATTGTTCCAAGACTCAGTCCTGAATTTCCTCTCCTTTTTAAAGCCTCAATCGAAGGCCCTTCGGTGCCTTAATTGATTCCCTCTGTCTGGGTATGTTGTGCGTGTTATGTGCTAGCGGGGGGGGGGGGGGGGGGGGGGGGGGGGGGGGGGGGCGGGCTGCAGTTCTTCATTTTCTGGGTTCCTGTAGAACTAGTTTTGGGATTTCATTATGTCTGGCTTTTAGCGCAGGCAAGTTCAGTGGCCCACTGTAAAAGGGTCCTGCTTTAAACACCCCGCCGCAGACATAAGTAACTCGATGATGCTGTTTTGATGACGTCGTGCCAGCGTATGCCATAAGTGATTTACGCAGCATGTGTTTTTCGAGCAGCTAAGAAAAGAAACACAGAATTAGCAGAGACTGCTAATCTTTCTAGAGAAAGTGAGAAATTAAAATAGGGCCCTGTCATGTTTGCATGCCGTGTTTCACCTCATTGGCGCCACTTACGCTGCGTTACACACTTACCCGTGCTGCTTGTTTATTTATTTATGTATTTATTTTCTCAGGGGGGGAGATTGTTGCATTAGGATTTATCTTTGTAATGCTGATTCTCCCCAGAAGCATCAATGATTTCCTATCTTATCTTACTTACAATGGTGGATGATGATTTCCTGTAGCTCAGATTAAGTGTCTTCCTCAAGGATCCTCTGCTCAGACGTTCCATGTCAGCCCTCTGATGACACACCGTTAAGCACTAAGCCTCCTGCTGACATACCAATCGCTGTGTTTTTTGGCTCAGGTGGGCGGACACACTATGCTGCCCGTTCGCTGGATGCCCCCAGAGAGTATCATGTACAGGAAGTTCACCACGGAGAGCGACGTCTGGAGCTTCGGGGTCATCCTCTGGGAGATCTTCACCTACGGGAAGCAGCCCTGGTTTCAGCTGTCCAACAACGAGGTGAGTCGCGAGTCACCGTGACGCCGGACGCCCGAATTTCCCGCTCACTCCCCTTTCTGCTCAGCTGCACATCCAAGGCAGGCAGTTTTTGGAGGTTTTCCATCTCTTACCATCGAAAAGTATCTCGTGTGTAAGCAGAGGTGGATAGTTTGGATCAAGAAAGTAAAACTCCAGACCAAGATTTTGTTTCAGCCAACCAGTGGAGTACTCTGTGATTCTTTATACTAAATCAGTTGTTGAATCAAGGTCTTGAATCATTTTTGCTTGCTGGATCCGAACTATCCACCTCTGCTTACACACAAGATACTTCTCGATGGTAAGAGATGCAAAACCCCCAAAAGAATGCTAATTTATGGATTTCTACCCATTGGTAAACATGAAATATGTGTTATTCAAAGAGGCTAATGTGCTAACATTAACTAGCTGTGAGTTACAGTCAGCCACACTGCCCTCGAGCTCACTATTATATAGTACCTGTGTGTTTCATCTTGACCAGAAAAACAACCTTTGTAAATACTGTGACTTTTTTCTGGAAGCTCTTTCCACTTCAGATTCTCTTTGGTGACAACTTTTTGCCACAGACCCCGGCAGATGGAGCATAAATATCCAATTCATTTGTCTGCTTTGAACCAGAAATGTGAAACCATATTCGTTGTTCTTTTAAAACTATTGAGGTTTCATCGCACCAGGGAAAACCATCAGAAATAAGTGTTTGTGATGAATTAATTGCGTTCAGCCTGAATAGACCAGAATGCAATGTCCTGTGAACATGATCTCATTTTCAGGTTTCATTGGATTTGCGGAAATCTTGCATCTGCAGACTTGTCAGTGTGTCCGTCTCGTGGAATTTTTCTGGTGGCTTGGGTGGACCTGGGCGTTAGAGAGAATTCATCCGCAGTGATGAATTAAGGCTCCTGTTCCCCATGTACTGCATGAATTTGATTTCCATGGCGACTTCCTCAGTGTGTCGGCACGCTTTTCAAAATTTGTTTCTCTTTGTAGCCAGAGTCACAAAACTCGCTCTGAAGAAGCGCCAGAGTTTAGGAGGGAGACGCTTTGAATGACAACAGCCTGCTGCTGCTCTGAATTTTTCAGAGCTCATCATGTCTGTCCTATTGCTTGACAGGCAGCACTTAAAGACGGAGAATTGTTCTTTCCGGTATATTATTGGATAGGTCTTTTCTTGGTGTTTGAATGACAACAGCACGCACTAACTTTTCCACAGTTGTGAGAATGTCTTCGGTCTGCAAACAGAAAAACGTGACACAGAGACTTGGCTGTAAGGAACGGGTTTATTTTCAGTATTTTTTCTGTTTGGGATTTGGATGGGGAGGGGGCAGAACTGGGATGACTCAACATAAGCGGAAAAGCAAAATAAGAGCTGGGCTGATAGAGGAGGAGAAAAGAGAGGTGCCTAGAGAGGTGAGAGACTTGTGTGTCAGGGATGAGCATGCGGACGGGATCCAACTGGTATCTGGGGTACTGGGCAAATCGTTCATACCAGTTTGTACATGTGGCATTGACTGGGGGAGAGGTGAAAATGACCAGTACAGATAGCCACAGTTACACAGCCATTCCTCTCAAATGAGTCAAGGGTCTTCTGGCGGACTGACTCCCCCTGAGGCAGCTGTATCTCAGGTTCGGCACGAAACCCTCGGTTTCTCGACGATTAACCCTCTGTCTTCATGGGCCTCTGTTGCTCACCAGCCGGGCCGTCCGCCTCCAAGGCCCACAGACACCCGGAGCTGAGCAGCGCTCCTTCACCACACGCCATTAGCAGTGTAGCAGTCACGTGTTATCACCATGGAAACCCAGCAGACCCTTTTACACTAAAGCTTCCTGGACATTAAACCACTTTTCTTTAATTTTTCATTCTCCTCATGACATCTCTACGACGTTCCTCCCACAGTCCATTTTAACCACAGCACACATTATTACATTATTTATAATATACATATTACATTTAGAGGTATTGTGAAACCATTTAAAATACCAGAAAATAAATTGTGATGTTTCTAAATGGTAACTGGATTGTAACAGTAATGGGTCTCCGTTAAATTTGACCATTCAGAATTTATGATGGGATTCCAATAAAAAGTAATGTAAATGTTTGGCCAGGAGCTGCCCTTTGCATGGCTGAATCCCATTGGGCGAAGTAACTGTCACTCAGTCAGCCTTGCCTCTCATTGGCTCCCCCAGTGTTGCTGTGAGAGTGTGCTGCAGTGAATAACGCAAGCTTCCCTAATGCATTCAGATTTTAGGCTCTTATTCTGAAATGGGGTTTTACCCCATTCTGCTCCTGACTGATCTCTCTAGACCTACTTGTCTTTCAGTCAAAACTCTGTTCTTCCAGCCCACAAAATTCTAGCCTTTATGTGGCAAGAAATTATGGGAATAACCCAGAAAACTATAAACTATATGCCGGACAAGTAAAAATATGTCCATGTCCTTGATTTGGGTTAGAGTTTATTCAAATAAGAGTGCTCATTCATTCGTTTACTAATTGTACAGGAATTGCTCAGGGACTCGGAACTGTTAAATAATTAATTCATCGATCGAATAATTTAATATAACGCTATGTTGCTTATTCAAAAGGGCACAGCTAAGCTAGTGAGAAGTAAAAGAATAGAATAGAATAGCTTTTATTGTCATTGCACGAACGTACAACGAACGTGTCCCCTGAAACAGATTCAACACAACACTAGCATAGCTCTGCAGATTAAACTATATACATATACAAAGTAACAAGGTTTAACGTGGTTTATAAGCTGGCTTTGGATGCACAATGGATGTGAATGCACCAAATAAAAAGTAACATTCCAGTGTAATACATGTTTATATGTATTTATATAAGCAATATATTATATAAGGTGTGTGTACTTTGGATACTTTTAGCCAGTATGTTCAGAAATGGAGTCATGGATCAGGTGACCATGCAGCTGAACGCAAACCACATTTCTGTTTCATTTGCTGGTCGGCATTCACTCTCATCAGACACACTCTCAGCGGCCTGTCTCTGTTTGCAGCACGAGAGAAACAAAATCAACCATATAAATGAAAGTCAAATCAGTCACACATGCCAAGACACGTCCCTGAAAACCATTCCCGGCCAAATCATTTTTTTTGAACACGGTACGGATCTGTGTGGGAATACAAATGTAACGGGAATGGCTCGTATTGCCCTAGAAATTTGTCAGGGGTCAGAACTTTCATAAATCACCTCTGATTTTCATGCGGGCTCCTGGGTTCCTCCATACTGCCCACTGTGGAACGTCTCTGGCGTAAAAAAAAAAAAAATTCGTCATTCATTCGTTATCTGCCAGTGAGCGACTCGGTTTCTCGCTGAAATGTCTGTGTTTTCTTGCATCATTTCAGCTAAACAATTTCAGCGGAAAATGACACATGGTCTATGCTCTCCTGCCGGTGGGATGGCTTAAAAACTGAAACAGGAGCCCATTTAAATGCCTTTTCCTCTCTATAATTGCTCCTGGCCGGCCCCAGAGCTGCATGCCTGCCTGTATCTGCAGTTTATTGTAATGTCAGGCCGCATTTATTTATTTTTTTTTTATCTCAAACGGACCTTAGGAGTGGGTGTGCTGACGACAACTTCCCCCACGTCGCTCAGAGGAGCCTGGACTTTGGAGAATAAGCTCCCCGTCCTCCCCATGCAGCATATAAAGGAGCAGATGAGAGAGCAGATAGCAGAGACCTTATCGGAGCTGACGGCTGCCTGCTCTTTGCTGTCACTCAGGCCCATCGGCTGTTTATTTTTACTTCTGAGAAAGAGTCCTGCTTTGAGGGGGATGAGATGCTGCAGTATGATGCATGCCCTGCATTTTGTGTGGAAAATATTCGTGACATGATTCAATTGTATTGAGGAATAAAAAAACGTTTTTCTCTTTGTCACCAGCTTGTCAAATTTATGACAGAAATACTTAAGGTCTTTATAGTCATTGGAAGATAAGTCATGTGGTTTGGTCAGGCACCATGAGAGAGGTCCTTCATGTTCTGTCTGGATAAGCACAATCGGCTTAGGTCACATGCCAACGGCCATTGACCTTTGCCTGTTGACCTTTGGTCATTGACCTTTGGCTCTCGGTTCTCCCCAGGTCATTGAGTGTATCACGCAAGGCCGGGTCCTGGAAAGACCACGCATTTGCCCTAAGGAGGTCTACGACATCATGCTGGGCTGCTGGCAGAGGGAGCCGCACCAGCGGTTGAGCATCAAGGACATCCAGAAGATCCTCTACGCCTTGGGGAAGACCGCACCGGTCTACCTTGACATCCTCGGCTAGCGTCGGCCGCCCCAGACTTGTCCCGTCCTCTTCTGCCGGACGGATGAACATGACCCAGGAAAAAAAAAAAACCAAACAACACGTTCCACTGTCAGACACCTTGGGGATGGAGGACCTAAGTGCCTGCTACGCCTTTCGATACACTGGAGTAAAATCTTTAAAAAAAAGCACTTTTACATTTCGTTTGCTATAAAATGTACAGAGATGCACTCTATGACGCAAAATCTATGTCTTTTGTTAAAAACCTCTTTAAAAAGGGGAGCACAGATCCCACAGAAAAAGAGGCTTTCAGTAATTTTTAGACTCTTGATTTCTTATATATTTTTTTTGAAGGTGGGGATCTGTGTCACGTTTGTTGGCGGAGTATCTCGTTTTTTTTGGAGGTGACGGCTTCCTGTTGCCACTTCGGCCAGTGAGACGTAGACTCACGGAAGAAAACCTTACCGTTATCACCCGCTGGACCTGATCTTGTCTGAGATTCAGGAGGGATTTCTGCAGAGTGAAGACACCCTATGAAAGGACCACCAATCGAAACAAAAAGGATAATTTAATAATTTAATGTACATAATGTAAATTTTCATAAGTGTCCAAAAAATTATGTTAACTTATTTTTGTTTCTGCTTAGTGCTTTTGTTCTTTGGTGTGCCGTTTTGGTGAGTTAATTCTATAAATGTTTTCAGAGTACTCTATATTTTTTTTTCCTTTGGACAATGTCATAGAATGTATGTTGTATTTATTTTAGTGAAGAGTCCCAATTCTTTTTTAATTGCACAGTTGTTTTGAGGATTTGCAACCAAACCTGTGTCAGGCCCTGAGGTGAAGACCCATGAGAATCTACGATCAGAGTGTAGCGGATATGAGAGATTCAGCATTTCAGATTTTCTTAATCTGTGTCGAGTCATCGGTAGGTATGGTGTCACACTCTGATGCTTGTTGGTGACGTTGTTCTCCTGTCTACACAGGTTTGTGTCTTTCAGGATGTCCTTCACGTTGCTCAGAGTCATGAAACATAATAACATTATTAATATTTTATTTACCATCAGAAATCAGTGATGGATAATAGAAATCTGTGGTAATTTACCAGTTTTCTTTACATTGTAAAACTGGTAAAAGTATGGGCTGGCTAAGGTTTGCCTGTGTAAATAGTTTTTGATGCAAATTAATACCTACAGACACAAATTTCACGCGAGTTTGAGTCTCGCACTACATGGAAGCGACATCTGACACAGGTGGAAATTTATTTAGCACCGTTAATTTCATTCTTCATTCCTGCGCAGCGTGAGCTTGGCACATTGATGCAGGTTCGGGTAAAAGTACCTTTATCTTCTCATGTTCGCCTGTGTTTTATATTTTGGGCAAACGGTATCGTGTATCGCTCGTGGCCTTTCAATGATGAAGCGTTGCGATAATAAGGAAAGGCCGCGTTAATTAATGCTGTATCATAACGACAAATTCCACAGCATTGTGTTGAAGTGTTCTTTTTAGTTTTGCTGGCATATTAAATAAATAAAATGACATTTAAATTTAAATTGGGGTTCAGTGACATTCCAATGGTGTTCCCCCCTCACACCCCCCCCATGTTAGACAGAAATATGCAAATTTAGTCCAAAGTGACTTTCAAACATCATGAATGAAAGGTTATATACAGGTTATGTTCATCAGACTCGTTAGCCTTTTAAAACTCTCAAAAAAAGAAATAATGAGTCAGTTGATATAACGTACAGTACAACAAAAGCAGCAAATTCATTAACATTTCTTATGTTCATTAGGCTGAAAAAAATCAGCCTTGGGCTTTTCCTTCAGGAAGCATCAGGACGCAGACAGTTGGTTCCTGCCTCTCTCTCTTTTATGTTTCACTCTATATCCATGGAAATCCTCCTATTTTCTGGTTTGCTTGTAAACACTGCAGTGATCGCTTGATTACCTGATTTCCTGTTCAGCCGATTGCTTACCTGATTGTCTAGCTGCTCACCTGACTGTGATCCTCATTTACCCCAGTGTTCACATGACTGGTCACCTGACTGTGATCCTCATTTACCCCAGTGTTCACATGACTGGTCACCTGACTGTGATCCTCATTTACCCCAGTGTTCACATGACTGGTCACCTGACTGTGATCCTCATTTACCCCAGTGTTCACATGACTGGTCACCTGACTGCTAACCCAGCTGTCCACTTGCTGGTTTTCCTGTCTGCCTCTGTTTATTTGGTTTTACCTCGTCCACATGGGTCTGTCGGTTGCAGTGAAAATGCACCTAGATTGTAAACAAACTGCTTTAGTCAAACTGATGCTCCTGCATGCTTCAGCTAAAAAGCAGCGTTAAAGTTGGAGGCTGTTGTCTTTCGTGGCAGAGACGCCGTGACTCGGTGATGAGCTGTGTGCTGGCTCTGTGAAGAATAGCAACATCATTCCAGCATTATTATGGGGGTTCATGCTCTGGGTTGAAAAATGATGGATGTTTTGGCTTGGGGGGAATAGGTGTGCTGACGCACATGACCAGTCCACCCACCCGTGCTGTGCGGTTTGGACGTCCTGCAGTCCACTCTGCCAGTTTTCTTTCCCAGCATTAGCATATGCTTCCTCCCAGAACTCCAGCTTCCTCCCGGAACTCCAGCTTCCTCCGACTGCTGCGTCTCCAAGTCGGTCCTTTGTAAGTCTTCTGTATTGGGTTTCTGTGCCCTCTTATGCTTTTTAGGGGTTGGGAGGAGGGGGGGGGGAAAGGCAGCTGTCATGTAAGACACCGAGGTTTGACAGCATATCAGACTCAAGTCATATCACATAAGGAGAATCTTGCCACAGTGTTGTCCATCTCTGAGCATGAGTACAGATGGGGTTGGGCAGGTCCCTTGGGAGCTGAGATCTCTTCCCCATGTTCCTGAGATTTTACCACCTGAGTATCTGCGGCAAATATGTCAAAAAATATATTTTTATATGTTATTATAACTGCATCAAACTTCTGTCAGACTGAGAGCACGGTGGCTGGAGCAGAGTAAGGTTATCCTCTCGTCTGAAGATCCCAAAATGCAGGTGGGGGTGCCCTTGAAACGGGGGACAGCGTGAACCGTTTCCACTCCATTTGCAGTAGAGCTAATCAGCGGCCAACGAGCCATGCAGGGGAGGAAAACACCGACGGCTGCAGTAACGAAGCTCGGTGTGTCTGCATGCAAACTGTACTTGCCCTCTCAGACCAGCTGTGGGACACAAAAGTGGAGGTATTATTAGCTACAGAAAAAAGCAGCCGTTTAAGCGATGAGCAATGTGAGCGGAGGGAGAGGAAACACAATAGCAGGCGTGGCGAGGTGGTACATCAAAAGGCTAATGGCTTTGCCCTCTGTGATTGGCTGAAGACTGACCAATAAATGGACTTCGCAATATTCACGCGTCCGCCCGCTGTGCGATACTCAAGGTCAAACGGATGTGTCTCCAGTTGAAGGTGAAACGAGGACAGGTTGAGACGTGACTATTTGTGCCGTCAAACAGAAAGCGGACCCTTTGCCTGGCAAGTTCTGCCTTTATCGGGTACCATGCCAACTGCAGTGACTATGCCAATCAGCTAGTTATGAGCTAACTGTTAAATGGCGGAATGTGGGGGGAGGTGGTTAATTACAGCCGTGTAATGGTTACACGAAATTAACAGTTAGAGAGTAGCCTGTCACAGCTTCACCTCAACATCACTATTCTAAAACTCAGCTATACGTTAATAACTAGCTATTATCTGAAGCGGTAGCTGGGATAATGTAGACAAAAGCTCCCCCAGTAGGACAAGAGAGGTACTGCAGGGTCTCCTGATGGGATCAGGCCTGGCGTTTGTGCTTTCTTGTCGGGGTGGAGGAACGTGGGGAGGGTAGTGCGTCCATGCCACAGCCACAGGCATCCACACAGGAGCTGCACTTCTCTCGCTCAGGCTTCGCAGCCGCAGGTGTGAGGTCGTCCCCGCATTCCAGCTGGTAGCCACTTCTGACGGCCAGACTGACCCTGTTGCCCAGGAGTCCCCCGATAGCCCCTCATCGAGATGCACGGCGGATAGCCAGCCCTGACCTCCTCGTCCCGTTTAGTCTGACACTTTCCCAGAGATCTGAGGGACGTTCTGCCGGATGGCAGGGTTCTGTGAGACACGAGCGGCTCAGAGCCGTCCTCATACAGAACCCCTCCTGCTCTGCTTCTCAGTCCCCGGCGGTCCGGTTCATTCTGATGGAGCTGCTGTTCTTTCAGAGGGACTCCTTTTATGGTCAGGATGGTTTCATGCACACTTTTGTTTGCCCGCACGGCTGCACATCCCAAAACATGTTTGTGTTCTTTTTAATTAAGAAATTTGTTCTGAGGGACGCATCTGCGACTGTTGCTCTTGTTTGTTTCCCTCTCAAAGATATAAATATTGATATAAAAAGCCAAAAGAACCTCATTTACCATAAAACAGGTGTGCCAAGGTTGAGTCCTTGCTGACCAGGGGGTGTGATTGTTTTTGTTCAATTTTTTTTTTGTACTGTAATTCAACTTTTGCCTCAATTGAACTGCTGAATGAATCACACATATTGGACAGGTAAACTATACTAATGGAGAACATGCTGAAATGTATTAATTGCCAGTACATCTGTCCATTTTCCCAATACGGCTTATGCTGGGTGGCAAGGAGCTTGGAATCCATCTGAGGAATCACGAGGCGGGGATGCAACCCGGACCAGATGCCAGTCCACTGCAGATTTAATATTTCACATGATCCAAATATATCTTGTGGTAATATATATCCAAATGATGACATGAAAATACAACATGTTTTTTTTGTCTATAGAAACAGTCATTGCTGAGTTGTTTTAGTCATACATAGAACTTTTACAAAGGAAGTAAAAAAAAATTACAAAGAATGACCAAGCATTTATTATAATACGTCTGGCAGTGGTTGGGAGTCCTGTCACTCTCCTCCACCTCGTCATCTTCCTGCCCAATGGCGGCAGATGAATGAAGACCCAAAGAGGAGATCTTTTCAATAACAAACCTACACAGTTGCAATGTAAAAACATTGAAAGTGAGAGTGAGCACGGGAACAATTTTGGTTAAATGAGACTCGCACGGTTTCTTCAGTAAATGGTTTGGTCCAAAAAAAAGGTTCTATTTGGTATCATCCAGCTGGGAGAAATTCCAGCAGACCTTGTAGTCTGAACGCTTGTTATATAATAATTTCATTTTAGCCCCACTGCAGGCTTTCTTTATTACGAGTTCTGCTGAATTAACAGCCAGTAGTTTGTTACTTTGGACTCGTTCCCACTTCTCTGTGTGTCGGATCCTGTAAGTGGTCTCCAGCGCGACAGACAGGACGTGTGTGCTCAGAAATTCTGAGGGGGGCTATATCGGAAAACGCCAGCGTCTGCGATCCCAGCGAGCCGTGCTAATCCCACTAGCATCATGAAGACGTACAGGCCTATTCTGTGTTCTCCATCTGTGCATTCAGACATGATCCGTTTGTGCTGGAACATGTTAACGCTTTACGACGACCCACGGAAGATGGCAGCTAAGAGCCGACATGGTAAATTAAATTGTCAGGCTAGAGGGCCATTACTTAGATCCTATATGACCCGTTTGTCTGAAAGCTAATTTAAGGAGAACATATTTATGGTAGCTAGTAGAGCCTCACACTGTCTCGCCTATCATTAGAGAGAAAAGCTCTGCAGAGTAACAAATTAAGAGGCAGTTTTTAATTAGAGGTTGCACTTCAGTCTGTCCCTGTGAAGTGTAGGTAATCACAGGCTGTCATTGAGCTCATCCAGCCTGCCTTGAGTGGCAGAACAGAGAGGCATCCCGGATCATAAAGCAACGTACGGTAAAAATAAAAATAAATCACAGCATGCTATTTCGGAGGGCAGCAGGTGGTTGTTGCAAGTCCCAAGAGGAGGCAGCTGTTGGACCCTTGAACCGGAACTGGACTGGTTGTGAGTCACTTTGGCTAAATATGTCAGCTTGGCGATGAAACGATACCGGCTTGCATTTTCAGCCATTTTTGTGTGTATGGTCCATTTTTTATGATCATATAGAGCCCTATTCAAATCATGGTCCATGAGGTCCGAGCACTTCTGGTTTTCCAGCCTTCCTTTACCTGCGAGCCAGGTGTGAAGCCTCTGACCAATCAGAATCAGTAAACTAACTACTGTACCTGGGAGAACTGAAAACAAGGCCTGGATTTGGAATCGAGGTCCAGATTTGAAGAACCCTGATATAGAGGGAAACAGTCTGGAGGGAGGTATGGTGGGGCATTTCTCATATCCTTTGTAAAAGTGTTAGATTGGGAGAGACTAAGAAAACACTCAGACTTCAAAATTAGAGTCCGTTAAAAAAATCATTGTGGTATTGATACCTGTGGATATGCGAGTGGTTGTTGGCCCTTGGGGCTCAGGGTCCAAGCTGTGTTCCATATTCCTGTCCAAGATGAACTAACACTGGAAGGCTGGGTCGAACCCGTGCTTGGGACAGTACAGCCCCATTCTCGCCAGTATTACCTTGCAGACTGCTGGCAGCCGGTTGTCACGGTAACGGTTT